TAATAACGCGCTGTCCACGACCAACACACTGACTGTGACAGGGTCACCGTTGTTAATACTGAGTTTGATGTTTCCAACTCCCGGCTTCTGAGAGCCTTTCCATCAGCCGTTAGTACGTCCATCTTTTGTCTGCTCCACTGTTGGCAAATCGAACCGTTGGTGAGTGACCGAGAGCAGCCGAATCTATTAATGCGGCACGTTATTCCATTGCTGCGTACCTTAATCACAGGGAGCGCCACTTTCATGCTCGGTGCGGGGAAGAGACCAGTGCTGACGTCGCGTCCCCCATTCCATTTCCCAGGCACTTAGAGGCAATATGACCTATTTTCTGACATTGAAAGCATCGTAGATCGAGACGTGCCTTTTTCGCCCGACCCGCTGCGCATTTCTTCGCGTTGATAGCGGCAGTCTCTGGCAAAATGATTCGGCCCAGAGCACCGATAGCAGGTGGCAACGCCATCATGACAAATGGCTGGGGTCGGACCTTCTTTGACTTCAATTGGTTGAATAACTGCGGCCACTGGTTCATCAGCCTCTTTTTCGTCGATCATGACAGCACGAGCTCTGGTCAACAATTGATTGAGCGTCAGGTCTTCCATTCTGGATGATGCGCGGAGTATCTGCTTAACATGACTGGGCAATCCAGAAACGAAGGCACATGTCATCCATTCTTCAGGAAGTGGTGCGATTGAAATGGCGAGCTTCTTTAATTCTGCCAAATATAAGTCTACTGTCTCGCCAGGTCACAGACGCAGCGCCTGGAATTGGTCGTAGGCCACAAACCGGTCAGTTCCAAACGCGGTTAGTAGAGCGTGCTTTATTTGCTCAATGTCACTTTTCTGTTCTTTACTCAGCTGCCTATACACAGCAAGGGCACCGCCATTCAATCGCAGAGGAAGAATCCGATCAATCTTCGTGATCTCGCATAATTCGCAGACCAGTTCCACCTTTTCGATCCATTCAACCACAGACTGTCCACTAGTATCACCACTGAATTCGGGGATCAGTTTTATATCGAACGGTCTTTCCGCCATCTTGCGAGAGACAAAGTAAACGCCGAAATAGCTTGAAGTGTAAGCGTTCTCAAAGCAAATTTGTGGCTTTCACAACACAATGAAAGAAAATCACTTGTAACACGTCAGGAAAATAACTCACGAACCGCCGTAGCCAAAACTGCCCGAATTTTTCCTCCCGAGTCGACAACACCAACTGCTTTTATCGGCAGAACCTATTTTTTCCATTCGTCGACAGCCGGGATAGGATGCTCCGTAATTTGCATATTAATATCCTCTTATAGCGACTCCTGCAACGGACTTGTTTCTTTTTCGTCCCAGAATACACGCGACGAGGTAAGTCGCTATAAGAGTTTTGCTGACTACTTTTTGGCAATCCCTCCCCGGCAGATCGCACACAAAACACAAGCTTTTTTCCGGGGTACTTGATTATCTCGTTCACTACATTTAGGTTATTCCATTTCAAAAGAAGGTATATCACCAGACCAAGCCTTGATAGAAAAAATACTAAAAGTAGCTACATCTACAAATAAAAAAAAACTGGAGTCTTTTTAGGGATTGGTGAATTTTTACAGGTGATATTTACCAAAATACACGGACTTGACTGAACCGTTTGCAAATTTAAGAAAAAAGAATGTTGAATTTATTTGGTCAGAGGAACAACAAAAAGTTTTGATAGATTAAAAGTAATTATGGCAAAGAAACCAGTAGTGAAAATGTTTGATCCAAAAAAGGACATTACGTTAACCACAGATGCAAGCAAACATTCGATATCGGGAATATTATCACAAGAAGGACATCCAATAATGTATCTATCAAGAAGACTAATGAACACCGAATTTAATTATTCAAATATAGAGAAAGAAGCATTTAATTGGGAAAAAATTTCTGTTAAGAAGAGATCATAGACCATTAGAGTTTATATTTAACCCAAGGAAAGAATTACCCACAACATCGAGGATACTAAGATGGGCAATAAGACTGATGGCATTTGACTTTGATATAGAATATGTCAAAGGAAATTCAATTCCACACGTAGATGCACTATCAAGATTGCGATTTTACAAGGAGTCAGAAGATAAAATAGAAGAAGAATTTGAAGATGCATTCTTACATTGGGTAGAGACTGATGTTTTGTCTTTAGATAGAATGGCTGTGGAAACTAGACATGATCCAGTACTAAGTAGGATAATATCGAGAATAAGAAAAAACTCATGGGGAAATTGTTCTAGGGCGGAAAGACCCTACAAAGAAATAAGACAGAAATTAACGATAGAACATGGAGTGATTTGTAATGGGGATCTTTTTCCCAGAAACACAAAGAAAATTGGTAATAAAAAATGTACATGATGATATACACTGTGGAGTAGCAACACACAAAAAAGGATAAAATTAGAAGCATGGTGGCCGGATATTCAAGAGATATCGAAGAACATATAAAAAGGTGCAAAAAATGTAAAGAATTAAGAAACTTTACACAGACTACTTTACATTCATGGCCCAGGGAAGTGGAGCCATGGAGTTGGGTGCATATGGATCATGCGTATATTACTGGAGTGGGACTAGATTAATTCTAGTAGACTCTTTTTCAGGCTGGCCTGAAATAATCCGGGTGCCAGACAAGAAAAGTTCTACGATAAAACAGATTCTAAGGGTCATATTTTCCAGAAACGGCATACCAAAAACCTAGGTATCTGACAACACACCAGAATTTTGTGATGAAGATCTTAATTTATGGTTAGAAAAAATAGGATGTAAACTGTATAAGACACCCCCATATCACCCTCAGTAAAACTGGTTAGCGGAAAGAATGGTGCAGACCGTAAAAACGAGACTAAAAGCATGCTCTCAGCAAAAAGAAAAAGTAGAAGTTTTTCTACCAAGGCTGCTTTTAAGCTATCGCACAATACCACACGCTGGAAGACTAGAAAGCCCATCAGCTTTAATGGAAAGACAAATTAGAGCTCTGCTAACGATGTCGTATTCCACAGATGAAAAAATGTGATACAAAAAGAACAAAGAAGCAAATCCAGAAAGGGCAGAATTTATCATGCAAAAAGGCCACAATACAGCTATAATAAATAGAGAAAATGGCAACAGTGTATTAGCCCATGCAGATCAAATAAGAACCCAGGGTGAATATGAAGAGCAAAATGATGAAGAAATGTCTACGATTCCATCCGTTAATGATTTATTAGAACAACCGTTACAGAATGAAACATCAGAAGACAAAATAATGCAGTATCAAGTGGGACAGAATGAGTTTGAAAGTTCGGACGAAGATCAAATAATGCAAGAAGATGCCAATGATTACAGCTTAGCGCGGGACAGATCTAGGTCTCCGAGAGAAAGAAAGACAGGAGAGAGAAAAGTAGAGCAAAGTAATGAAACTATCACGAGAAGAAGTACAAGAACTACTAGATGTATAAAACCTATACGTTTCAGGGAGATGTAGTGATACTGGCAAATTAATATGCCTAATTTGCATAAGTGCAAGAGAAAGCCTATATAACTCAACACTGAGAATAACGAAGGAGGAAGACAAGCTTAGCGACTGACTAGTGCTAAACTTCGACTTCACATCAGATTCTAATATTTTTTAATCAATCTCTATAATTATAATTTATTCAAAAAATCCATATAAAAAAACACAAGAAAAAAAGTCCTTGCATGATAAACATATTGATGTACATTCACATATTCTCTTCAATAACAGTCAAATAGATGAACAGATTTTGTCAATGCTTTTTGTCAATTCTTTTGTTTGGTTCTAATAAAGGAATTAGTTAAAAAAAAACAAAATATTAATTCCCCCACGTTATATATATTTAATAAATGAAATATACACTGTGAGTATTTAAACCCAAGCTAGGTTGGTTCTCTCATTTAAACCTTATTAACGAGTCAAACTCCAAACAGGGCAAGGGTGGTAACTCCGTCAATTCGTTTCGTAACAAGTAATTTTTTAGACACTTACAATACGAATTGATGAAAACAATGAAAAATCAACTGAATTAATTTTTTGTTTTTAAATAAAATTTTGTACATTAGAAAATTTTAAAATATTACTTATGAATTGTCCAGTAAACAGGATTGCTAACCCAGATATCGTCACTTCGATTGTTTCAATTGAATTTTTTTGTTTCACCATAATGCCTGATATTTTTTAAATACTCTTGTATTTATCAATGAGAATTAAAGCCTCATTTCTATAATATAATTTTTTTAAGAAATTTTACAATGAAAAATTATTACTAAACTATGTCACAACAGGGTTTTTTATTCACATTTCAAAATGTTTAAAAAAACATACACCTCATGAAAATATTGTAGGTGATTATAACAAGAACAAGAACAAGAATCAGTCATTTTTAACTTTAAAATAACAAATAAAAATGACAAATAAAAGGGAAATCCATTTTGTTTATTAATTCTTTGATATTCATTAATGTCTTCTAAAATAAAAAAGCAATGTTTTTATCTAATCCTTTTACCAAATGAAATTTCATACTTAACTGAACCAAAAAAATTATTTACAAGGAAACTGAAAAAATATTTTCAATAATTGAATTTGTAGAAATAAAATATCAAATATCAAATGCAAATCACTTTTTATGCCAAATAAAATTGTTACTATTCATTAATTTAATGAATAGAAATGCTTTCAAATATTGACATATGAATGTTAAAGTTCTCATTAAACTGCTTTTGCATTTGTCATGCTTATGGTTTAGTGAGATTAACTAATCTAAATTTAGTCAAGCTCAAGTCAGACACACAGTGAGGCTCAAACTCATTTCAATATTAATGGTCTCCACAGCAAAGTGCCTTTTCTGATATAAAGTTGTTGCTTCTGGAATACCACATAGAAAAGCAATAAACTCTATTGTTCCTCTTATTTTATTTATTTTTTTGGAAAAGTCATGTATCAGACAAGAAGTACCTTCAACACAGGACCATGTTCAAGAGCAAAAGAGAGACACTTACCTCTAAACTGTAAGTCTAGCATAGGCACAAGACAATCCCGCACAAAAAACATGCTCCATAACCACATGGTAAGCAAGAAGGCTGAACCAATGTTGTAGTAAGTCAAAAAAGCCAAGAAGACAGACCAGATGATGATGTTGGCATCATAATAAAGACTTTCAAGACTAGATGCACTTACATTCTATAAAACAAGAAATGAAGAAAAAATTTATATTCATGGACGTTAACTTGTGCAACATTAAATTCAGAGAAACTGCTTTGAAACTAGAATTATGAATTTGTTCTAGAAAAATACAAAGATTAAATTTTTTTGTCATCCCTCATCACTTTATAAAAAAATTCACCTATAAATGTCAAATTAGAATTTATTCTCCAATTTTATCTACTTTTGTAACAAATATTTTTATTAATTTAAATAATTTTGAAATAATAAATACGAAAATAAAGTAAATAAAATAAAGACAAACAAAAATTCCAAAAATGAATGTCAACAAAATCAAAAAATGAAAATAAATAAGTTAAATAGAAATGAAATGAAAATAATTTCAAAAACAACTTTTTTTTTCAAAAAAGACAATATAGAAACTGGAATATGATTATTTAGTTAATAATTTCAGTTAACAATTGCTTTAAATTTAAATAAATTATAATAAATTTTCTAAATAGAATTTTAGTTACAAAGCTTAAAAAGTAAATGGCTGAAATTAGTAGTGTTATGTCCTCTTGCCAAATGGAATAAAAATAAAAATATTTAAGTATCTCCAAAAAAATTTGCTAAAAAAGAGGATAGATGATGAAAAATGCACAAAAAAGAATAAAACAAAATGTTATTGTTAAAAACATCTATATTAAAAAATAATTTTAACCTAAATTATTTTAAAGTAAAAGTAAGTAATATTTGTTTCAATTTAGATTAATGAAACTTTAAACTATTTAAAATATTTTTCAGTGAAAAGAATTATGTTGACAGATTTGTAAATATTGACGATTTTATAGATTTTACTGATGATCAGAAAAAATGATTCAAATCAAATTAAATTCAGTTTGAAAAACATTGTTTATTGGAAATACTAAATTTAATCTATTAACTTGGAATTAAAACTTAAATAAATGCTTCAAGAAAATTTTTAATTTTAAAAAATGCATTTTAAATCTTAGGTATCCCTGGTTTTTGGAGGCACCTATATTAAGTTCCTTTGCAAAAGCAATATCTATGAAGATAAAGTTAATCTAACACAAAAGCACATTTGTAGGCAGCCAATAAGAATTGAACTAAGTGAGTTTGCTAGTTATTATTCACACCAAACGACATATTTCTTTACAAAAGCGGTGCTGAAAAGTTCTCCAGCCAATCTACTCCCCAGAACTAATCAAATGAACAGATCTTTTTCTTTTTGAAGGTTGAAAGCCGAGAACGTTTCAGATATACAATAACAAGAGTTGCTTCCCTTCAATTAGAAATTTTTTTACTGTAGTTTATTTTAACATAAAACCAAAATCAATCTTAAATATTATTTCTTGAAGTTTCAAATTTTAACACAAAAAAAATTCACCTTAAAAATACCTTTTTTCTATTTTCTGATAGTTTTACTCACTCTGTGCACAGATTTTTGAAGAAGCATTAGTCCTGTGATAGCCGCAGCTACTGCAGGTGCAACAAAAAGCCAAAATACATTAATTGAATGGTTAAACCAGGACATAGGGCGTCCAACTTGGACCAGAAGAAAGGCAGAAGTCAAAATGGTTAGAACCAAAAAAATCCACATGATAAAGAGACCCAAGATGGCTTGAAGTAAGTGCCGTAAGTAGGTGCCATTGGAAATGCCTGTAACAAAAAAAATTCTTTATTTTAACATCAGAAATAATTATCAGGCACACACAGGCACACGCACACAAAAAGAAATTCCATTCATTTTGTCACTTTAAACAAAAAACACAGCTTTCATAATCAGTTCTGTTTAAATTGGAATATTTTATTAGTGAACACTTTCATCATAAAATAATTTGGATTTATGCAGTGAATATAACTGAGCAAGGCTCATCATAATGGATTTGGGATCCTGTCTCTCCACCATTATCACATTCAGTTGGAATCTGTCCTAACAGAAATGTTACTTTAATATCTTTACAACAAATCTGATGCATAAAAACACTGAAATAGTTTTTGTATGAACATTAAGTGTATTTAAATACATTTTTCAAAGATAACTAACAAAGTCAAATGAACTCAGAATTCTACTCACCTAATTGAGAATGTCCAGATCCCATCCTGCGTTTTATGATACCAAAGAGCCCAAAGATAATAATTACCATATTGAGAATGGTTGCCATTCTCTTTGGATAAGCTATCATTACAATGCCAACAATGTCAAAGAAGACCATATCTCCATGACGGTCAGCACCTGGATTGGTCAATTTAGGTGTAGATGCAATAGCTTCTAGCAATGATTTCAGATTATCACCTGTTCAAAAATCATAAATACTGATTAATTAGATGTGAAAAAGGCACTTGGCTTATTCTTATAGAAATGTTTGTGAGTTCAAGCCCAAATTCAAAACAAGTGTTTTCATCAGGACATGGACACTAGCTGTGGACAAAAAGAAATAAAATATAATAAAATAGTAGCAAAGAAAATTTATAAAATATTCATTTTTGAGACAGGTACTGACAGATATAATCAGAATCTGACACATAGATAAGCAATGAAATAGATACTGGGTGGTCACAAATATAGATAATCAGATTCATCTTTATATGTACTTCAATATAAACAGACAAACATAACATACTAAAACAATTGAGAAAAGAACAAATCTAACTTCTGAGTGGTTCAGAATAATATTCTCATCTTGGTTTAGTTGCCACATTTTAGTTGATGTGTTCCTCAACATGCTTTATATGTTTTAATTAAAAAAAATAATCTGATGTTGTCTACAGTAACTTAACAGCTAAATCTAGAAGTACCAACCAGATTTGAAAAAAAAAAAAAAAAAACAAATGCAATGGTTGAAATGCAATTATACGGGGTGACTCCAAAAAAACAGGAATTTTTTAAGTGCGTATTGCCAGACATGAGCAAGTGGCAACACTGCGAGACAGTGACCTTCAGCAAGTAAACATTTCGCCATTTAGAATTCAAGATGAAATTCACAGTATCCCAGCTGAGATGTTGCAGCAGTCAATAAGGAATCTCGACAGCAGATTTCAAAAGTGCATTCGTATAGGAGGACGCCATCTTCAGGACGTAGTTTTTAAAAAATGAAAATTCCATCATTGTTTCTTAAATGGCATGTTTTAAGGTTTCAATTACTATGAATAAAATATTTTTCTTCCATCATTCTTGGTTTTATTGGATTTTTAAAAAGTTCCCGTTTTTTGGGGTCACCCTGTATAATCAGCAAGAATGAGAAGATTTTTTTGAACAATTTATGAAATAATAAAACAATGCATTTCCGCAATTGCAAATTTTAACTTCAAACCCTAAAATGTATATGAAAGTTTTAACTCAATATACAAAAAACAAGTCGCTGTGTTCCATTCTGAGTGATAAGCCAATATGGCTGCTCTGAGTACTATGATTCCCTAAATTAAATATGAAAGACCACATGTCAAATGTGGATTGAGTTTTAGAAACACTACAAATCTCAATCTCACAACTTCAAAATTTTAATAGTCATTTTTAATTAACATGGGACCATTAGTGTCATCATTATTATCAGCCTCACAACTGCGCGTGGTCATACTGGAGTTTGCTGTACAGCTGAACATCTAACCAGTTTCCTTTTTTATCACAATGTAGGAAATTTTAAATTAGTTTTCAATTTTAGATTTTATATCATTTTGACAAATTTTCTCCTCAATATGTTTGTTACTTTCCCTGTGTAGAATACTTACCTCCTCTTTGAAAACATCCCTGCTCAATATATTCAGGACGGTCATTTCTTGTGTGGTAAACATAGCCATTTGAAACATAAGCAATATCAAGACCTATAATTAAAAAAAAAAAAAGAAGTAGAGTTCCATAAACTCACAAGGGGTTGAAATCTAATTAAAACAAATTATTTGTGTCAACATGACAACTCATTCATTTTAAAGCATCTCCCAACATTAATATTAAGGCCGGTTAGCATCTGAAGATGGCCAAAAAAGAAAGAAAAATAAAAGGAATTCTTTGGTGGTTTCAGAGATGCATCCAGGTCCAGGTTTTGGAAAAAAAACTTCAATGTTTATATTTAAATGTTACTTTATATGATGTATTCAAAATATATACCTGTGGAATAGGATAAGGAAGAAATTGTACAGTTTCGATTTCCTTTATCTTTTTTTTCTTGATAGACAAATGCATTCTGAAGTCAAACATCTTATGAATTGAAATCATAGTGGTGAGTTAAGTAAATGGGGATTTTCTGGCCATAAGGACAATAAAAGAGTTTATTTCCATTTGACAGATCTAGTCAGTGCTGGATGGAAAAAAATTAGGATTAATTATTTTGTGAGAGTGATAATTATTCCAAGAAATGGTTTCTTTTTTTTTTTTACTTTTTTTTCACCCCAAGCAAGGCAATGAAGCCACTAAGGAGTTCCTGAGTGTGAGAGAATATGAGAAAAAATATTATCAAGGAGAGAAACACTAAAAGAACAGGAATTAAGAAGACAGCATATAATGACTGACATTTACATTTTTGAAGATAAAAGTTGAATGGAAAGCAAGAAGCCAGAAGAGAGTTCCAGAAACAAGAAGTGCAAGAGAAGAAACTGTAAGTTCTATCTTACAGTTACACCTAGCTATTTCATATGTAAAATGATGATACCTAGCTGCCAATCTAGTACTGCACTTAAATTCATAAAGTCTAGGTATCATAGAAGAAACTTCAGAACAATTATCATGAAACTATTTATAGAAAAAGCATGGAAGTGGCTGAAGCTGAGATGTCAGGTCAGGATCAATAACATTGCAGATTCTTTGTATTTTATCAAGAATTTCTAAATACATAGCAGAAGCACCAGATCAGATGTAGCAGCAATATCCAATGCATGGACAAATGGCAGACTTATAAATATGTAAGATAGATTCTGGCAAGAAAAATTGTCTAGCACAACACAGTAAACTAAATTTTTCCTAATGGCAGACCTTTCCACTTCATGTCAGTGAAAAACTATTCCAATTATAATCAGAACTCAGCAAGATACATTTTTTGTTAAGTTAGGTGATCTGATTGCACAATCACCCAACAGAAAAGCTGTATATATTTGTTTCTATCTCATTTAAACAGCAGTCATTTGCAACTCACACAAAATGTATGCCAGTTTACAGAATGAAGAGCTTTACGGCCTGATGTAAGTAATTCCCACAACCTGCTCTCCCTGTTTGGTGTAATGGACAGACTCGAGAAATGCTTATAAATAAGCTAGCTTAATTCTTTTCTTATGGTAGCTGTATTAAGTTGAATAAAGCTTTCCTAAGTTTATTCGCTTCGGGATATTCATTACATGGCCACAACATATAACTATCCAGTAACAAAACACAACACCTGACAATGAAGATACAATAATATTTAAACAAATAAGAAAGCAGCTGGATAAAATCCAAACACGTATTTCACCAAGTTTCAGATCCATTCACTTTTAATGAAATGGAAAACTTTTCAGATATTTTCATAAGTTAAAATAGAGAAAGAGACAAGAATATTTCTACGAACCAGGTATTTGGCCATATCTGTGAAAGATTTGATAGTCTGTGTCAGATGGCACCAAACCTCCTTGGAAGATTTCCTGGCCCAAAATAGAAGCAAAAGGATAACTGACTGATTGGGCATAGGTTTGAATCAACCACGGATGCTGAGGACCTGAAAAAAATAAAAACATAATCACTGGTAAAAACAGCAAACTTGACAGATACACATTAAAAAGACAGAATCATAGAACTGATCTATCCAACCAATGTGTGACAAAAACCATTTTCCATTATAAAGTATTTTTTAAATAATAACCATAGTAGTTGGCATCCATTTATCACATGAGATAATGGTAGTGCTTTATTTGGTCAAACATTGAATCCTTTTGTGAGTAATGTCTGGAGTGGCTTAACAGTTTGCTCTTTGGATGACACTCTCTTCTGCAGGTATGACAGATGAAACTGGAATGGGGAATGAAGATCTCAGATTGCTCTGATTCCTGTGTTGTCTTCTTGTCTTCAGCAATTTGTTTTACTTTTCTCATCCTTCATGACTCCTCTTTGAACAGCATGTCACTGTGGTCACCTGGTAGCTGTTCCCAGCTATATGAGACAATGCTCTTTGATAAATTTCAGATTCCTCTTGCAGATGTCCTTGAAACATAGTGCAGGATGGCCTGCCAGATAATAAGTCCTGTGACCAGTTCAATCTACATGATACAGATGAGATATATGCTCTCCAAGAGTCTGCTCACTATCACAGCAGTGTTTGTAACTTTGTCTCACCATGTGATAGTGTGTGTGTGTGGTCAGAGCTGCATCATCAGCAGACAGCATTTCTTTGATGAGAACTGTGTGAACAATGGTTTTTGCTCTCAGGCAGGCCAAGTTGGACAGTTTTTACCATTGCTACTTGTGCATAAGTATACCACTTCTGCCCAGTAGCATGGTAAAGAAGACACTGAACAAAATGCATCCTTGTTTATGATACTTTGAACTGTGAAGAGTATTTAAGTTTCACTATAACTGACTACATTCTGCATGTTCCCATGAAAGGAAATAATTTTTTTTCTTTTCTTTAGTAGAATAATAACACTAATAATAATAATAATAATAACCTGTTCAATAATTAAGCAAGTTGCATATTTTCCATTTACACAAATGGCCGATGTTCAACAAGCTGCTATAAAAACCAGAACTCTGTACATTATTTTTTTCTTGACAGACCCTCATTACTTACAAAACAATCTTTCTCCCTCTATTTGCCTTTGGACTGTATGATGTAATGGAATAACCTGTCACCCCCATGAGCGACTACAGTAGTAATTACATATAAGTATCTGTAAGTCAACGGACTACAGAGACTAGCTGAAATCTTTTCAGCTGGCTGGTCGAACTCTCTGCCTCTGAACAGAAAGGAACCCAGACGAGGCTCTGCCGAAGGGCAGAGTCTCATTCGGGAAGGTTGACCAACCTGATCTCGTTTATGCGGGTTCTACCGGGATTTTTTGGCCAAGCCTACAGGCTCAGATAACCCACATTAAACCCTGCCTTGTGCCACATTTACCCTCGTGGAGGAGAGCTAGTAAATGCCGACTAGCTGGAATCTGTTCCAGCTGTGCTGTCGAACTCTCTGCCTAGGCAGAAAGGAACCCAGACGAGATAGTCTCATCTGAGAAGGTAAACAGACCAGAACCCAAATTAAGCAGGGTTTACAGGGAATTTTTGGCTGAGCCTACGGGCTCAGATTGCCCCACATTAAATTCGGCCTTGTGCCACATCCTACCCCGTGGGAAGATTGGTAAATATTACTAGCTGGAATCTGTTGAGTACAACTCAGACTTATGCGAGAACTACCAGCTTTCCAATAATAGCACTCACTACTGGATTGACCTGTGACGACTTTGTGCATAACTGTTACCTTTATTCTTATTGCACTGGTTTTATACAATAAGCCTCTACTTTATCCACCTTGTTTTTCAAGTATATATTCCTATTAGAACAGAATATAACACTGTACAATTAGTAAACAACAGCAATAAAAATATTATTCAGATATGCATTTGGAAGAGAACTTGAATTTGTTTCAGAAAGTGTTCAGAAGAGAATTTGTATTCATTCAGCAATGGTTCTGAAAGAGACCTTGAATTTCTCAAAATCTAAAACTAAACATTCATGCAGGCAGAAAAGAAAAGTAAAGAGAAAAAAATAATTATACCAGCTTGAAAGACAATTTCCCAGCCTCCTGCACCGGCAGCATCCAAATTGACAAATGCTTTTACTGACTTTGCCCAAGGGTGCTGAGTGATGAAGCCATGGCTAGCCTGAAAAAAAATTTTTTAAATTAAAAAAAATTATATATATTTTTAAAAATATTGATAACTTATTTGGAGTGTCAGGTTTAAATATAATAATAATAAAACATCTTTATTTAACATCAATGAAGATGTCAATGCGAAAATACATGGAATAATGAAAACATTTCATTTGCAGGCTGAAAACAATTGTAATTTAATTAACGTTTAAGCCATTTTGTTAATTTTCAACCAATATCAATTTTATGAAGTAAATATATGACAATTATTTGCTTGGTATACAATTTTATACAGTTTGTCATTTTTTCTTTTATGTACAAACTTTTTACATTCTGAGGTTTTCCAAAAATCTTAGTGATTTTTGATTTGGGAGTGAAATCTAGATAAATGATAATAAAACAAAAACTTTATTAAAAACTGAAGAGTCAGACTTGAAAGCAAAAAATTGACAATTCACAAAGCATCTTTGTAACACTGTACCAATTATTATATCTTGTCCTAATATTAATTTTGGAAAAGACAGGTTACACTTTTATTTGCTCTCCCATGTAGCCAAAATAGTTGTATATTTCCCACTAGTGCCAATGATTTAAGTCCAAATGCTGGATTTCGAGATAACTCTGGATTTCTTCACTTATATTTGCCTTGGACCTGACTAAGTTTAGCTCTGTAAATATCTACATATAAAAAGATAAAAATAACACTGAATACAGAAAAATGGCATGAAGATAAATCAATGCTTGATTAACAAACAAGAGAATTTGACTCATTTCACTGTTAATTTTTCTCAAAATAATATCATTGGCAATGAATTATTTCAGAAGTAGACACATGCATGTAAGTCATTTAAGAAAAAACAAAATCTATACTGATGAACAAGTTTCACATATATTCCCTGGCTACTTACATCAATGTGAACTAATGCTCTTTTATGGAAATATTTAATCAGCCAAAGACATGGCAGAAATTCAATGGATGTAAGCATTTAAACATGGCAACCTGATGAATTCCATTTCATGCATGAGTATAGGAAAAATATGAACAATTTACTAAGGACCATAAAAATTGTACATTAGAAGATTGGGAAAAAAAACATTGCTCGATCTGATAAGTTTCAATTTCTGCTATGCCATTCAAATGCTAGGGTTAGAATTTGGTGTAAACAATATGAAAGTATGGATCCATCATGCTGTTTCCATGGTTTATGGTGGTAGTGATGGCATGGGGAATATTTAAAGACTGCAGTCTACTTAGGTATTTTGCCTGATAATGTATCCCAATTTATGATTACAGTGCACCCATCTTCTGGTAGGCCCCTTCCAGCAGAAAGAAAACACCATGGCACAAATCAAAAATAGTGGCAGATTCATTCATGGAACACACCAGTAGTTTTTCTGGGTTAACTCCACAGTCACCTGATCTTAATCCCATAGACCACTTTTTGGAATGTGGTAGAAAAGGAGATTCGATTGCTGGATGTACAGCCAACCAATTTAGAAGAATTAGAGAATGCCATATTAACAGCACAGATCCAAATTTTGAAAGAGTGCTTCCAGAACATTGTCAAATCTATGTCAAGGAGAATTGAAGCAGTTCTAAAGGCAAAAGCGGTTCTAATGTACTACTAGAAGAGTAAACACGTTACTGGTGAGTGTAAATCAAGATTCAATTCCATCTCATTCACAAAGACACATCCATCAATCCACTCACAAAATTGATAATTGATAGAGATAAAAACACTGAAACATTACCTGCAACATGTTCTCTTCAGCACTATTAAAGAGAAAGATAATGCTGTGTCGAAGTGGCGTGCGTCTTTGAGAGAATGCTCGAAGAACTTCCAACATTAGGGAACAACTTGAAGCATCATCTCCAGCACCTGCAAAAAACAAAAATGAATCTTTAATGCAAATTCTCAAGGGAGAATCATATGAAAAACTTCTCATTTTAATTCAGTAAAACATTATTTTATAAACAAATTTTCAATTTTACAAATCAGATAAAAAAATTATTGGTTAAAAAACATTTTAGATCAGTATACAAATTTTATCCTTTTTAGAAATTAATAAAAATACTTCTAAAGCAATTTTTAATCTTTAATTTGCTCGCCTCTTTATACTTTTAACAATTTTTATTTTGATTGATAGTTGGACAAATAGAACAGTGCAAGGAAAATTATGTTCATGACTTTTCCAAGAATAGTTTCACATTATCCAATTTCATTTTTTAGGTTAATCATCATTAAAACACTTGCAATTTATACATATGATAGTTTGGTTGTGCTTTGAAAAATGATGCCAAATATTTAAATAATTTTCCAATTTCAATGGATATATATGATATGATATATGATATAGATATGAGATATGTGATATTGATATATGATATAATATAAAAAAAATTGAGATTGCTCTATATTTTCTTATGTTCAATGCTTTCTGAATATTAAATGAAACTAAAAGAAAAACTTATGATAATAACTGACCCTCTGACTTGACCACTTCTGCTATAAACAAAAATGATTATAATAAATAATAGTAATTTTTAAGTATTTCTACTTTAAAAATGTTGTGGTATGAAAAAATGCTTGTATTCTGTATCATCAATTTTTAAATAAAAAAAAAAGTTTATTTAAATATAAAATTAAAAAATTCTATTTTTATATCACCAGAAGAGCCCACAATATACAGATAGGCAACTCACCCATCTCGATACACTAGTATTACAGTAATGTAGAAATGATTACAATGTTATGGTGTTTATGTGCAAATGAAACAAGCTGTTTTAAAGGATGTCAAGTACATTTTTAAAAGATGACATTTCATTCCTCAATATGATAATGAGCCTAAGCACACAAGTATACAGGTGAAAAATTGGCTCAAAGACAAGGTCAATCTCTTACATTGGTCTGTAATAACTTTGGACCTTCAATTGAAAATTTGTGGCAAGAATTTAAAGATAAGATCATTCAAGACAAGTTTCAAATTTAATAAAGTTGGAGTGATTTCCTTTTGAACGATATGTCAATAAGAAATATGCAGTAGATTAGTTACTAGATGCAGAAACACGGCTTCCTAAGTGATGCATATTGTTCGTTTACCGATTTGAAACGCTAGGAAACAAAATCCGTCGGACAGTTCAACCTTCAGATGGGGAGAAGAGATGGATACATGCCTTTTCCAAGAACATTCGTGCAAAAGTGATGCGACAGATTTGTCATATAACGTATCTATGAGCACTAATGTGTATGCTCCAATCCTCATTTATACGTTGGAAACTATTTGAATTAGGGCTAATATGCTGTCTACGAAGTCCACCACTAGAAGTGGTTTACCTCCTTCACGCCGCTTGCGAGTGTTGTATTTTGTTAATGTTTTAAAGATTACCATTTCATTTTCAATTCCATTTTGGTTATTCCTCGATCAGTAACCCTTCCTAGGTTACAAGAAGATTATGACTGAATAGGAATTCGGCTCGATGATAAGTGTTACACTATCAGCATTTATGGTACCATTGACATGGTTGATAATAAAAAGTCATAATTTAATAACATGAACAGTCAGCTCCGTTTGATATATTATAGGTTTACACTTATAATTATTAAGTTCGATGTAATCGATAATTATAAAAAAATAGCGATATGAGTTTGATATTCAGAGCAAATTTACTCTTTCGTGTAATAAGAACGTATTACTAACTTATATCTTGACACTTAGTTAAAATGTTGTCTGGAATAACCATGCCAGTGCGAATTCTCAACTTAAGAAATAAAAGGAGTGTTTTTGTTTCCTTAAGGAAAATCGTGCCGACGAGGAAAATGTTTTTTGAATAAATGGTCTTCCTGTACTAAATAATCCCGTATCACGAGGTGGACATTGAAAGAAATGATTTAATCAAATATATAATACTTCTGTAGTTGTTAATACAAGCGTAATGATTCTCGGAACTTTGATATTTACCATTGTTCACGCATACAATTACAAGAATCTTAGATAAAGGCAAACGCACAACGGAAATGCATTGAAAAACAAAAATAAAGAATTAGTGTTGATGTTAAAACATGCAAAATAAAATGTTTGAAAAAATAACTTATGTTTGTTCTAAGTAACATTCAAATATACACACCTAAAGTTAACAGACATCGACACTGAGAATATTAACATTTTTTAGCTGTGCATTCATGAAAATTTTTAACCCTCCTGCCTTAGTTCATGGGTCAAAATTTTTCAAATAATTTGTATGAATTGTTTCACGGTAGATATAAAAATAGTTAAACCGGTGGCTGGGCATTGAGCCATTTCTCTCTACCACTGTTCAACCGCTGGTCATTTTTTCTCTATCGCTGGTAAAATGGAGGTCAGGGCTCAAGGTTTAAGCATGCGCTATAGAGAACATACAGTAACGTCTGATGACCAAACCTGAGCTGAAAGAACCACAGTGAATTTATTTTCTTACTAAATTGTATTACACGCAAATTATACCTGAATGTAGAATTTCAATATCGAGATACTATGAAACTGCCTCAATCCTCCTTCAAAAATATGATAAGTCACGCACAATTATGTATCGTCTGGCCATTTTTCATGTAAATTTTAAGGTTTTTATTAAATCTCAGATTTATTTAATATAACACTGTTCATTTATTTTTTGTCCGATTTTTCTGCATATATAAGTCAGTGAAAATACATATATTTCAAATTTCATTATAAAGCATTAGTAAATATCACTATATTTTTGTTATAACCTAGTGAATATTACTGAATAATATAATCAATTGAAGGTTCGTAATGAACAATAATACCTAGGACACAAGAACAACACCTATAAGATTTGCCAGCGGCGCGTAGAAGTAGTAGTCAACTGCTAGGAGTCAATGAATTTCACAATGAATCTCCAATTGCAGGATATATAATAACCTTAAGGAACACAACATAAGATTTGGCACAAGGCCGAATTTAATGTCAGGTATCCGAGCGCATATATATCAGCCATAAATTCCCCGTAGACACCGTATAAAATGAGGTCGGTAGTTGTTTCCCCGAGACGAGACTGTGCCCATCGACATCCCTCGTCTTGGCATCCTCTCTGCTGGGAGGTAGAGATTGTGACCAGAACAGTGAGATGAATCTCCAAATTCAGACCAACATACAGTATTTACTACTGTAATTATGCGACATGGGGATATACCCATAATCGTCCGTAGGTCTTCTACAATTTTTTTGTAATCATAAGCCATAGAATCTCTAGAGACTACCATGGGGTGACATTCTATTTTCATACCAATAATGTCCTTTAAAAATGAGTGTCGCTCTCATAACACTTGTACCAAAAATAGGTATGAGACAACAAGAACACACGTGGAGGTTAGTGTATGTCTGTAGAAAGACGACATTTCGTGTAAGAAAACTAAACAAAATTAAATCATCAGTTGAGCATCAGAAGAAATTAGTTGAGTTTAAAAAGAAAGGAAAAACAACTTTAGTAACAGAATCTGCAACGGCAGGCTAGTGAATAAGTATATAGTAAAAAGAAATACTAATAAACTCGTTAGGACTGATAGGGTATATCACTATTTTAGAACAATGTGGAAGCTTTCATATGATGACTGCTTGTGTCTTCAGTGTAGTCTTGTGTTTTGTCTACTTAAAGTTCTGTGCCAAGTAGATTCTCAGCATGCTGACAAGGCCGACCTAAGAGCAGTTGATAATGTAGAAGGCGGCATAGAATGCGCAATACCTCAGCCATTATTATTTCAGGAAAGCGGCAACGAATAATAAATGCATTCAGAATACGTTTAAGACTATATTTCTATTCCTGGGACAAAAAAGTTTTCAGGGTCTTCTGCTATTCAATCCCTTGTAAGAAGACCATAAATTTTTACCGACACATGCCCACACATTCACGCGAACCCATATACATATATATATATATATATATATATATATATATATATATATATATATATATATATATATATATATATATATATATATATATATTATAATGATTTTCTTTTAAAAGATGCTAACATCGTGGCACAGAAAATTTTTCCATGTTTCAAAACTGAAACTAACTTTATAAATTTAATTATAAAAACTAAACTTAAAATCTATAGTCTCGTTCCATTGTCAAGCGACGTTAGGGATAAACTTTGAAAGAGAGATACCATCTTTATTTATTAAACATTTAGTTTGAGGACTATTGGCTAATATATAGTGTTTTTTTTCTAAGTGTAGCGTACATATAGAACAAGGCCGAAAGTATGGAGAAAAAAGTGATGAACGCACTAATTTTTCAGTCGTAGATGATTTAGCAATGCAAGGTTCCATCTAAACACTTTAAACACACACTCAGGGCTATTAGACATATATATATATATATATATATATATATATATATATATATATATATATGTGTGTGTGTCTATATATAAATATATATATATATATATATAATATAAAAAGATATAGCCATACATCTTAACAATATCAAACTATATATATATATATATATGTGTGTGTGTGTATTTTTGAAAACTGTTTGTGTTTTACCAATTTTGAAAATTTGTAGAACACACAACTGGGGCAGATAACTCCATCCTTGATAATCTTCAAGTTAAGCATCGAGGTCAATCAAACACAGAACATTCGGACCCTTGTTGACATGAATGTTTGTCCATTCTTAAGAAAGTACAAGTCTATTCAAGAAAAATTAAATTTTTAAAGCTCAAATGTAGTATAGTCTGTCGTTTTTAATGAAACATGCCTAAACATTGAAATATATATATATATATATATATATATATATATATATATATGATAAAAAGGGTTTAAACACTAATATTCCATAGTCATAATTTATTCCATTGGAATCGTAAAT